GTACACTTTGGTGGTCAGTTTTGGACCCTGCTTCATAACCAAAACATCCAAGAATGGAAGTGCATTGTTAACTTCAACTTCCATAGTGAATTTGATGGTAGGCCTGATGTTAATATGTTGAAGAAATTTCTGTAGCTCTTCCGGTCCATATGGTCATATCACAAACATGTCGTTGACATATCTCAGCCATTTAGCAGGCTTGTATTCAGCTGTGTCTATTGCTATTTCTTCAAAATGCTCCATGAATATATTACTGACCACTGGAGATAGTGAGTTTCCCATTGCCATACCTTCCTTTTGCTGGTAGAATGTATCTTCAAACTGGAAGTATATGGTTTTTAAGCAGATGTCCAGTAGTTCCATCACGTCTTAAACTTGTAAAGGTGAGTGTTCTGGGAAGGAAGAATCCATTCTGAGTCTATCTCTTATGATTTGTAAGACCTCTTCCACTGGTATGTTGGTGAACAGACTACATTTGTAGTGAGATTAAGAACTGAGGAGAAACACAAAGACCTCAGGATAGGTGGCCTTGCCAAGAATCAAACTTAGGTCTTCTGAAGTATGAAGTAGGAATGCTAGTGTGCACACACACATTAGAACAAGAGGTGTAAATGCCTATCTACACACAGTGTAAACAACACAAAACCACACTTATACATCAAACAAACTTTAAGTACAGTTTTATTTTCCAGTGCCAACATATAAGTTCTTTACAAAGTACAATGTACAGAGTCATTGCCATTTTTGCTACACCAGACGACTACTCTCTCTGTCTCAGTCTTTGCTAGTAGGCACCTCTGAGCTTGGTATCAATGCTGATCTGTTTTCTGAAGTGGTTTGAATTTCTTTTGAATATGATCGGCGATTCTTGGGTGATTTCTTGTCTAGGTGCGATGATGATGATGATGATGATGATGTCTTAGATCGTTCCTTAGAAGGGGGCTGCCTCTCTCTGTCAGAGCGAGGCTGTGACGATTTAGCATGTGATGTGTTGCGGGGAGGCCAGCACTGACGTGATAAGCTCTTAGCAATGACTCGCTTCTGATGGTCAAGCTGCGGAAACAGGCCTGTAACACGACCAGACACAGTGATGGGTAGCAAACAGAATTCCTTTATGAACAGTATGACTGCTTGACACCATACATTGTGGATTATAGAAGCATCATAAAATAAGCTCCCCACAGACACGTGCACATGCATGGATGTGCACACATCTTATAAAACTTCCTGTACGCAATTATGAATGAATAATTCCTTTACATTAGTAGTTAAAGAAACTCTTTATATACACAAATAAATACAGTTACATAATATAACGTAAGGTAAAGGTAAAGTGGTCTCTGTGCGCTTAACTACTTGAGCATTACACCATGAAGGCATATGGGGGAGTGGATGTATAGATCCACATTTTCCTGAACTTGGCATTAACTGGAGGTGAGTGGTCAGCTTCACCCTCTGACTGCTTTACCCCAGGGAAAAGAGGCCCCCCCCCAGTACCCATTGGATAGGAGGTTGGGTGGACCCCAGTGCCAGTCTGGACAACATCAAGAAGAGAAAATTCTTGATCCTACTGGGACTCAAACTCTGACCCTCCACAGTCAGTTGCTATAGCGACCGTGCTATCCCAGCTCCTACACAACGATGATTTCTAAAATAATCGATGAAATGTGAAATAAAACCGAAAGAGTATTGAATGAAGGCAGGCATGATGCACAAGCAGCGTAGTTTCAATGTGTGTTCATTACAGAAAGAAAACATGAATACTGACAGTTCTGACCATGATAACATTATATTTAGGAAAGTTCTAGGTAAAAAATTTTCTATGCTGAACATGGGTTGAGGATTACTGTCTTCTGGGATGTGACATGCAGTCTTGTAGATATTTACTGATGTTTCACAGGAACCTGCTACCTCTATCTTCAAATGGAGACTAATTACACAGTATCACATCCCATAAGACTACTGTCTTCAGCAAAAACATATTCATGCACATGTTTGTACCTTGTGACAATTCTAGAGCCTCTTTTGCAGCATTCATTTCTGCCTGCTGGATACTGTGTCCAGATGCTTTCGCCAGGCGTCCTCCACGGAAATACACAGCTACTGTGTATACCCTTGTATTTGTCGGTCCCTTACATTCGATGACCCTGCAAACAACCATATTACATAATTTAGCGAACTGCAAAAGTAAAAACATTCAAGTGAAGTGTGAAGCAAAGAAGAACTTTGGTGTTGACAAGTAAGTATATGCCGACAGACTTGATACTTAAAAAATATGGGAAATGATCACTGTAACATCACTTAACAATGGCAACTTATAGTCTATAACTTCTTCATCATTCAGTTAGTTTAATATTCTCAAAAATTTATAATATTTTCAATTGCTTAAGTGTCTCCAAAGTTATGTCCAAATTGCGCTGTTCCACCATGAAGGAAGCAGTATGTATTTCTTGCTGTCTTTCCTTGTAGATTGCTAAAACTTATACCTACACTTAGAAATATCTGTGACAGGTCTCACTAGGGCTATTAATGGAAAGATGATCATAATAATCTACATTCATTCCCTAATTATTTTATGGACACAGGAACACAGAACATATCTTGGCTATTTCACTTTATTCTTAGATAAATCCCTGCGCTTGACATTAAGTAGATAATGTAAACACCGTTAGTTTATCAATCTCTATAATAATATTCTGCTGTCACCAAATTTTTAAGATATAAACACAAAGCGGGAACTAACTTAATGAAGCTGAGCCCTTTTCGAGAAGCCACCAGTTGTGCAGCTATTCAAGAACTCAGCATTTTATCCAATGAATGCAAAGATTCACTAATGTGTCCCTATCCTGAGCCAGATCAATCCAGCCCATACCACCCCATCCTCTCTAAGATTTTAATATTATCCACCCACCTATGTCTTAGTCTTCCTAGTGGTTCCTTTCCTTCTGGCTTTCCCACTAATATCCCATATGCATTCCTCTTTGGCCTACTCGTGCTACAGGCCCTGCCAATCTCATCTTCCTTGACTTGATCATTCTAATTATACATGGTTATGAAGCTCCTCATCATGCAGTTTTCTCCAACCTCTCGTTACTTCATCTCTCTTCAAAGTCTGGTTAATTATGATGTTTAATTAAAAAAATATGAAAATATGGTAGCCCCCAGCAATACAAAGTTCATATCAAATTTCCACAAAATCTGTGGAACTGACATACAGAAGCCTATAATGTAAAAATAACATATTTAATTTGGTGTGCACATCAGACTTATTGAGCGTTGGCTCTGTACATACTTATATACTGGAATGTCTGGTTCTCCTCCCTCCATGGTACGTAACGTAAGACAGCACTGCTGAAGTTTTGACTTGGGGTCATTCCAGTCCTGGTTCATGATGAAGTCCTGCAGTCGTGGGAAGAAACATACGTGGCAAAACACGTGACAGTATTCCAGTCCCTGTGGGGCAAGAAGTACAAAACTGCAGTGGAGTGCAGGCAAGAAGTGTGTGTCCAAATTTGGGTCCTAAAACGCAACAGCATCGATTGCTATTGGTGCCTACATCCATTAAGTAGTCTGGGATGAAATAACCTGAACCCCCGAATCTGTCAGTCTATATGAGACTGACAAGACAGAATGGCACTATACATGTAAAGCTTCATAAAGAGCAACATGATAAGAGCAGACAACAGTCTGTTAGGCTGTACCTGAGGTCCTACAATAATACTGTGACATATGGGCCGTTTCTATAATACAGGAATGTCCATAAACATTCTCAGGGCAATGAATACAGGCAACAATAGAAGAACTGCTGTTTCTATGTAATGGCCAGTAAGTAACCCCCCCCCCCCAAAGAATGTGACAGTATAGGAGAAACTATGTTTTCTATGCAGTTTGCGCCAAGCAAACGCATGGAATAATAGGACATCTGTTGTTAGACAATGAAGCTGTAAATACGTGTCCTTGATAAAAGAAGATGGTGTTTTCTATGGGGTCCATGCAGGGGAGTTATATTGAAGCCAATCAGTGCTACGAGTCAAGTCACTTGGTAGGAGATGTTCACAGTTGAAGAAGGATCAGAAGTTGACCTGTGAAGACTTAACGTGTGCTGTAGTGCAGTAATATCTTGAGTGTGACAGTTATAGTAAGGTAAAGTTGCCCCTGTGCTTAACTAATTAAGCACTATGCCATGAAGGTGTATGGGGGAGTGGATGTATAGATATAGTTCCTGTGTTAAAATCCACTACCAGGAAATGAATAGGAAAAACTGTGCAGAGGAATAACCATTATTTATATCTGTTACCTAGCAATGACTAGTGTAAGCAGATATAGAAGACTTTACTTTATGTGTTATAATTACAGTAATCTCGAAAGTGTTACAATCATTCGAAGTTACGACTAGTGAACATCCAATAAATCAACTCACCAATCCAAACCTGTCTGTCACTAATACATGTGACAATATGAATATATAAGATGTGACTAACCAACGGACTAATGTACCAGCTACACTACAAGACTTGTATGTGGGAGGTGATCTGTTTGAATCTTGGCCAGGACACTGGGCATCCTGAGCATTTTTATGGTTTTCCTTAGTTCTCCAGGCAAATGTCAGGGTAGTGTCTAAATTAGGCTATTTACTGCTTCCTTCAAGATCTTTTCCAATCCAGTGATCAGCCTACCACTGTAAGCTACTAGTCCAGTTACTGGCAGCACTGTAAAATAAAAACAAGGTGATCTCAAAAGCCTCTTGTTTTTCAAAGTAAGGAAAGTAGGTTAAAACAGGACAAATATGATTATAAAAACATTAATTCTGAAACTTAAATCAATTTGGGAAACCCCCTCTATTAGTGAGAAATAACAAACATTAAGATACGCTATAGTTACTGCCTCCAAGGATCTCTCATAGTGTGCCACGAAGAACTAATCATCTACTCTCCTTTCGCTGCATACTGAGTATCTGACACAACACAGACTGCATATCAAACAGCGCGTCTGTTGTGGTGTATTCATTACCATGGGAATATGTTTACCAAGCAACTGCCTAGGAAATCGGGGGGAGGGGATGGTCTGATAAGCCTTTTTATTTTTTAAAAATAAGGAAAGTTGACTAAAAATATAAGATGTACCCACATGGTGTACAAACAGATGCTAGGTCACCACAAGAGAAATGTCCATGTGATCACAGATGGTGATCAATCCAAATGCATGTAGGCATGCCTTCCCCTTTCCTGACAGAACTGGAGGGCTGCCACACCTGAATGAATATGCAGGCAAGAACTAAAGCCATGGCAGATTCACTAACAAAGAAGCCGATGAGGGGAGGGCGCCAGTTCTGAAATGAATAGCATCTGTTTCATGAGAAGATGGACCACTGATTACATACCTTGTCAACATAAAGAGCACCAAGGAAAGCTTCCAGGAGATCTGCCCGATCCTTTGTCTTCAGTTCAACCTTTGGGTTTGAGTAGAGAGCATAGCTGATCATCCCAAGGTCATCGCACACAACAGCTTGCGTTCTGTTGTTCACCAGAGAACTGCGCAGTAACTGCAAACCAGCACAATTAAGTAAATAACTTGAGGCGAGATTTCAGGTTCACACAAACCACAAAGCACGGTGTCTCCTTGGATGTCACACCATGTAGTCTGCTGTGGCAGAACCAACATTTCAAGAGAACACGCTGCATCGGTCTTCCTCTTCTGTTCTGGTCTCTGTTATATTCCTGGTCTTTGACCATGTCAATAAGGGCACAAAATCCATTTCTGAGGTGGGAGCATCTATTGGGCAGATTCTCTAAACCCCTCCAAGGTGGGGTGAGCACAAAGTGATGGTCAGCAACACGGACATACAAATTAACGCAGTCTGCATTTACCACTACTAACAGTACAAACACATATTAGTATTTTCACTACAATTATGGTCTTCTGAGATGTGACATCATGTAGGTTGGTAGATTGATACCAGCACAGAAATCTGCTGCCTCTGTATTCAAGGTAGAAAAGACTCTCATTTACTGAAGATGGTGGATGAAGGTTCCTCCTAATTTTTGTAATATACCTACTAAACTACGTGGCATCACATCACAGAAAACTGTCTTCTTAATATTTACTACCGTGAAAACCTCAAATATCACTGGATACCAAGGCTGACTACATCTGGCTACACACTTACAGAAAGATGTCCTTCGTGGTGTTCTGGGAAATACTTATAGAGGTACTCTGATGCTATAAGCTGCAGCACAGTGTCCCCCAGGAACTCCAGACGTTGGTTAGATCCTCTGAAATATTTAAAATAAATACTTCATGCTGACAGAGTGAGATACTTTAGATTAAGTATATTACAAACAAGATGTTCAGGGAAGAATTAATAAGAATACTTTCCTTGAAATGCTTCCATCTACATACATAGAGACTAGCAGGAAACATAAATAATTATAGTTACTGGCCCTCACTCTTTTAAGGTATGTACAGTGAGTTTTCTAGACAGTGCCTCCATGAAGTGAACTCAAGCACTTGGAATATAATAAACTGTTGATTATCTGTGATAATGGGGAAGAGAAGTAGTGTGGGTAATAAAATTATCAAAAAGTCTGTAAATATCCACTGTCACTTCAACCCTGAAAATCACTGTATTACTGGTTGGGCTGCTGGTCACTGAACAGTGAGACAAATGCTTTTCCAACAGAAGAGAGCAGTGCTTGTTCAGTAACAGCCAGCCAGCCCAAAAAGCAACAAAATAATAAAATGAAATGCTGCACCAGGGTCTAATACAAGCCACTGTAAGCATCACTAGAATGCATCATTCAAAGAAAAGTGCTCAGCAACACTTAAATCATTAATCAATAACTAACAGGTTCCAAAAAAGTTCCACATTCAGATAATTTGGAGTCTACTGTCTATACCACACAGTGATTGAACAACAGTGAATAACAAATTGAAAATGACATGAAAGGAAGCAGTCATGGCCTAATTTAAGATACCCTGACTGTGGTACAACTCAGGCATCTCCCAAATACAGGTCAAAAACATTATTGCTTGATGTGGCATGCATTATCTGTCGGTCCAACTTCAGTCTTACTCTTCTGCCAGAATGGGTGTTCATAGAAAACTCACTGAACTTCATACGAATGAATGAATGAATGAATGAACTTATCTGAACACACAGTGTGAGATTTGTGTATCCAATGCTCCTGTCTGTGAATGCTCGAGCCAGGAGACGGATATGTTTGAATTCGACACCTATTGACTCTTCAAACTTGGTGAGATTCTAAAAATAAACAAATAATATTGCACTCACCTTAAATTAGCCTTGAAACGTGGTCAGGTAATAAGCAAATAAAGTGGACGGAATCTGATCACAGCTGCAAGTCAGAGCCATAGCTATTTGCACGAGGATGTGACAAAGGTGTAATTAGTAACACATAACATAATGGCTACATGGTGACCTGTTCCAATGCTGCAAACACCTGCTGTTAAAGAAATGAGCACATTTAACCCTAATCAACCAATATACATGGATGATTTATAAAGACAAGTACAGATGGATGGTGGCAGCCATATCTTAATTCAGGACAAAGATATTAGGCCTGAACAAGAAGTTGTGGGAAGAACCAATCGTCTATTTTCATTTCATTACATATTGAGCATGTGTTACAACATGGATCCCACAGCAAACATTCATCCAACACTTCTTATAATGTTGTGTATTTATTGCCACCAGAAGGTGTTTACCAAGCTGTTGCCTAGCAACGACTGTCTCTTCTGGCTTGTTACAGGGACACACACAGACATAAAGACAGCAAGGTGATCTCATAAGCCTATTTTTATTTTTCCAAAATAACGGAAGTAGGCTAAGAATGCAATGCTCTCTCAATCAGACTGCATATGTGCTTGTGAAGCACCGATGATATAAAGAATAACACAGGGATGTAAATGTAGCCATGGTCTATTTCAGGGTTTCTCAACCACCGGGACATGGCCAGGTACCAGGCCCTGACATCAATTATCCTGAGCCCTCGTCTAATAAAGAAAGAATTTACCAGGCTACAGTCTCACAAAGGTTGAGAACCACTGGTCTATTTTATATTACTATTCTGGTATTAGTTGGAGAGACCAAGGAAAATCATCAGAGCCTGGTGAAAATGACCTGTGATCCTTGCAGAAGCCACAAACCTTCTTTCTCCCCTGTCATATGTACATATTTTGCCCTGCCCACATACAGAGTCACAGAGGCGCTTACTTGAAGGAGCTCAAAGGAAGGAATCCACTTCCGGTCCCCAAGCGGCTCCTGTTCTTGAAGGGGGTGTGGAGGGTAGTTCACCCATATGTCAAGCAGGTCTAGATCTTGCTTGAACAACGTCTCAGCAAACACTTTGTCTGCAACCTGTATCATACCACACATTTGCATCAGGACACCCTGTTCTACTGGGGTAGCTGTAATCCTGTTCTAACGAGCTTTGAGGTCCTCACAGCAGTAAATATTAAGATTACTATCTTCTAAGATGTGATGCTGCACTGTCTGCTGGATCATTACGAGTGTTCTGGAGGAACTTAGTATGGCCATCCTCAGAGAAGAAGAGTCAGCCAAATCCCATTTAGTGTTTTGTCATTCCTTCCATAAAATTTGCCCTATAAAGGGCCACACTGACTTCCCTCCACCACCTACTGATTCATTCAGAGCCATTGTTTCTCTTGCTCGCTCTTCCCTTGCAAAATTTCGCTTTCAAGGGCCAACAGATTTTACACCATTCTCATTACCCCTCTTTGTTAACTTGGGCCCTATTTTCATTCCCTCCTCTTTCTGTATATGTATCTATCGCTTTCTTCCATATTCAGCTTGTCTGTCTCATGCCTGAAGGTAGCAGGCTTCTCTGAAACATCGGTAACTGTTTACCAGTCTACATGGTGTCACATCCAAAGTGACAGTAATTTTAAGAGTGACTGCCATGAGAACCTCAAATCTTAAATTTCATTGTCACATAAGAAACAAAAATATATCACAGGAACTGAACATCAAAGCAGACTAAAGAACACATTAACAGGGGCGAAGAATATCATATTTGGACATGTCAGCAGAATTCAAGATGACACATATCCAACAGTTCCCAGAACGCCTTGTGTTCTACAAATGGCAGATTATAGAGTCCAGTAATCAAACTCAAACTATCGTACACCCCCCCCAAAAAATAAGACTTGAGAGATTCCATTTTATCTTGATAATGTTCTTTCAACTGTGACAGATGAGTAACATGGAAAGATGACTACATAAGAATGTGGAAAGAGTGATCATGGTTTATGTTGGAAGGCTTTCTACATCATAATTTTCCTGCACAGGTTCAGTGTTGGACCAACTCACGAATTTACCGTCACATTACACTTGCATGCTTAGTGTTATATCTTTGCCGTCTGACATCCCGTCTAGTAATTCACATATAGGAGCAACAGATGGCAGATGGTTACTGCTTCAGAGGAACCTGCTGTCTCCATCTTCAGGACAAAAGACATGTAGACAGTTTCTACCCTGAAGGTAGAAGCAGAACGTTCCTCCAAAATGTTTCTGCTTATCTACAAAACTACGTGGCATCAAATCTAATACAGGGAATCTCTTGACCAGATTAGTAACTACAAACATGTTGTACCTCAATGCCACCATCCAAGAACAATGCTCCCATGAGAGCCTCGAAGCAGTTGGCCATGGCATGCCGCAGTTCTAAATCGTGGCACAAGTCGGAACCATGAGCATACAGCATGTATTCCTCGAGGCTCAGAATCTGAAAACAGAAAACCCCCCAAATGTTTGAACTGTCAGCTGTGGTTCAACTTCCAGCAGGGGTAGATATCCTTCCCCTCACCACTATGTCAAGACCAGCTCTGAAGTCTACCCACCCTCCTATACAACAGACACTATACTGAAGCCAGTCTTGATGCGGATGACAGAGCTCAGGGCTTCCTGCTTTCTGTCCACTCTTTCAGTTCCTTCTACGAGGGGGTACCCAAAAGAAACCGAACTTACAGTCAACTCTCGATTATCCGGGGGCGGATTAACCGGTTTGCGGCTTAACCGGGGCTTTTTTTTTTAAGTTTATATGTTGTTTAATATTCATTCACTTTTGTTTCACATGGTGAGTTGTAACACTATTTTCGCACTAGTGTGAACCGAGCTCTGCATTATTTCGTCCCGTTATGCGAACACAATGTTCTAGGGTGGGGGTGAAAGAATGCAAGAATTTTTGGAAAGTTTCAAGGACAAATACACCGCCCCAGGTTATTTAACGGTACCATCTCAGTGTGAGAGTGCATTGTGAAAGTAAGTATCAGTTTCTTAATATAGATCTTCAAGTGCGTTAGCAAAATGTCGGGGTTTAANAGGGAGCCAGGTTAGCACAGTTGGTAAAGCGAATGGCTACAGGCTGGACAACTCAGGGGTAGGAGTTTGAGTCCCAGTAGGGGTAAGAATTTTCTATTCTCCACATTGTCCAAACCAGTTCTGGGGCCCACCCAGCCTCCTATCCAATGGGTACCTGGGGCATCTTTCCCCCGGACGGGGGGAAGTAAACCTGCCAGGGCATGACGTTGACCACTCACCTCCAACTAATGCTGAGGTCAAGAAA